AAATAAATAAATAAATAAATAAATGAAAAATAAAAAAACACGATAGACAGGCTTCCGAAAGGCTTAAGAATTTAAACACAAAGTTTGAAAACATTTAAACGAAAGGTTGTCGTGGGAACGTGAGTCCGTTCTTTACCTTACGAGCGGGAGAAGCATCGGTCGTCTACGTTTACACACGGTGTAATCCTACGTTCGAGAAGCCAATCACGTATAGATCGCTGAGGATTAAGGGATCGACGATGGCGCCTGTACGCTCATACGCGGCCCTTTGTTCGACATCCTCCGTTATGTCACGTGGGAGGACGAGCGCGTACGCGGCCGCATATCGTGCCACGATTAACCGGCGCATTGCGATATAAATTAGAAATTATAGCCTCTTGGCCCCTGTGTCCTTCCCCGTGCTTTCCTCTTCGACGATTCTTTTTGAAAATTGAGATTTCCATGTGACGATAGAAACCTGAGAGAGAATATTCGATTTCTTCGCGAACAAGGGACCGACAAGTGTACGACAGTTTGGCAAGTTTGGATAAGGCGAGTTTGCACGAGCCTCGAAAGCCAGAGAAGAGAAGAGAATTTCGCTGCGGAAAATGCGTACGTACGAGAGAAGGGACAGAGCGAGGATGATGGCACGACGTGTTGGAAACACGACGCCGCCTGGTCGTTCCTTTCCTCGGTTACGTCACGTGGGAAGTGAGCCGCGTAGGACGCGTTAATGCGCGGCCGTCGCGTCGTCGATGGCACGTATCATATGAAGCGAGGAAGAGCGGCGCTCTTGCACGCGAAAAAAAAGGGAAAGAGAGAGAGACGAAGAATCGTGCCGCGTTAACTCTTCTACGGTTTAAGCACCGTCCACACCACTGGCCGCGTCGACGAGGCGACGAGCGGGGAGGATCATAGATGATGGCAAATTGTCCGCAATTGGCAGGAAGTCGTGGCAAGGGGGACCGTTTTTACGCCCCCTCGCACTCTCTTCGCCGTTCATTAGCCGCGGTGTGTTTGCGGGTTCTCCATTTCGCTCGTACGAATTGATTTCAAGTACGTGATTAATCGTGAACGGGTTCTCTTCGACAATTCGTTGTCGAATTTCCATCGGACGCCACCGCTTACCTTTCGCCTGTTACTGACGTTTGTTTTTTATTTTGCGCGATCAGGGAACGATATGATCTCGTTCTGATCTCAGAGCGGTGACGTTAGCGGTTACGTTGTTCGTCAGGTTTATATTTTTAATGATGCTGTCTCGAACCTTGTCGCTCGCTTACTAATCTGGTAGGCTGCACAGTCAGGAGAAATCGAGCACCGTAAGTAATAGAAAATGATTAATATCGTGACACTTTGGTAGCCAGACTGCGTGTCGCGCGTTTCCAACACTTCAAGGCCCTTCATTCGCTTGTGTACCATCAACCGGTCCGAGTAACTACTGT